TTTCCCTTTGTGTAAACGGGGCTTAATTCAATCCATATGTTTGTTTTCAGGTCTTTATATGAAGCAGGTAGAGATAGGTGTCTAAAGGTGTCCATTTAATTTCTATCAGGAACAGCTGTATTTAGTTTAGTATGGAGTGTAAAAGGTACACAGATCCTGTGAACCTTTTAAAAATGTATGCTAATTCATCAGCACATTGACTCACATGACTTTTTTCAGAGGCACCTGTGCAGTAATCTGGATGATATGCAGTCAACACCTGTGTGATAATGAATGATATTAATTTTTTACTTTCCCATCCAAACGTACTTGTCATCTTCTCTCAGTGCTTTCTGTGTACTATGAGCTGAAAACATTAGCTCATTAGCATGCTAATGTGCTTGCAATTATTACAATGCTGATACTAACCAAGTGTAATGTTCACTATCTTAGCTTAATTTATTAGCTTGCTGACACTTTGAGAATATCATGAGTTTTGCAGGTATTTTGTCATAAACTAACCTGACTGCGACAGAAGTGAAGTTGTCGTTTGGAAAAGAGCAGGCACTTTAAAAAATCCTTGGTAGGTGATTGGATGAACCATCTGTCAATCACAACCAATCAGATCACTGATTTCAATGGCATTATTTTCTCTTCTTTCAATGAAGAAATACTCTAGTTCTGATATATCTGACGCGACCAACATCACGCTAATCTCTTAAACCACCACTGTTGTTTTCAAGCAACCAGTAACTGTTGTCACATACACCTAGTGTGAAACCACACCTGTAGCTCATGCTGTAGCTGCCAGTAGTTCCTCAGAGGACACTGATTGGTCCGGTACAACTGGGGTTTGGACACAAGTGCATAGCTAAAAGCCTGGCAAGATGGTTTCTCACGTGAATTTGCGATCTTGTGAGTTCAGTTGCCTCAAAAGGATAGTCACAAACAAAAGTATTTGACAAATTCAAATTTAGACCAGAGTATGGCGTAATAAGTCAATGAGTCATTATTGAGACATGTCACTTAAATCACAAATGTCCGACTCATGGTGGCGCTGGCAGAAAGATGATCACCAAGTCAGGCATTTATCATCTGGGAAACATAAACATTTTGTGTCAATCCATCAAGTCAATTTTGAGATATTTCACTGAAAAAGTGAAAAATACAACCTTGTGGTGGTTCTAGAGGAAAAGTCAGAAGATCACCCTCTGTGGACCAAGTACGAAATATCATTGCAATCCATCTTAAACATCTTTCTTAATGCATCCATTTCCTGCAGATCCTACACGACATGTTGAGAAAACTGGATCATAATCAGATCAAAAAGGATCTGATTATGGATTTGGTGATGAAATGCATCTCTAGCTCTCTACGAACCTTCTTGGTAAAATCAGTAACTTACATAACTTGCTTACAAAATGTCTCATAAATTGTCTCTCACATCATATTGACTGAAAAGCTTGCATCAACAACACCCAACACATGACACTAATTACTAGTTGCTAATGACTATATCAATATTTAGGCATTATCAACATGCTGTAAAGATGCTGTCTCAAGAGAAAATATTCAATAACGGATGACAGTGATGATGCAGATGGATATCCTTCAATGAAGGGACAATCACTCTAAAGGGAATAATGTATTTCAGTATACAGACGAGACATGAATTAATTTGTGGGAGGCAGGGTAGCTCTCAGTATCACAGTGTGGTTATTATATTTTTGTGCATTTGGTGATTATGATGTAATTATTGGTACAAAAGGTAATTACCCATAGTGCCATGAAATAACACAATAATTGACAGAGCAACTATTATTAACATGATGCACATAGTAAAATTCAACTTATTATTTGAAAAATATTGTTACGCAGAGGTTAATTCATTGCAGGAAATAATGGCAGTATATCACTTAAATAATTATTTTAAAACTATTTCCGCTAAAGCTACATACGTTAAAAGTAATTATCTAGTCTTCATAATGCAATAGTGAAATGATAATATACAGAATGAATTCCTTCACCTCTATGCTTCCCCATTAGTATGCTCACTATGCTCTAAGCACAGCTTAATATTGCTACAGTTCCTTCATATGCCTCAAAATTATACTTAAGTACAGTCCTTGAGTAAATGTAATCAAGTCAATTTTTTTTCATTAATTTATCACTAATCACAAATTTCCCTCAAGCAGCCTTTACGACATGCAACACCCTTAGACCATTAATTCAACAACCCCTTTAACAAGGAGCAAATGGACGAAACCTCAGTAAGAGTGTCAGAGCAGCGATTCCTCCACCAGGACGCACAGACATGCATCTACGGTGAGTAAAATCACAGAA